GGGGTAGGTGGAGAGATACTTGCCAATAGTCCCTGTTTATTAGGTAGCATGTCCAAAAATGCCTCATTTACATAAATATCTAACAGGAGAAGTTGAGAAGCTTCAGGAAAATGTGGATTATTATTATTATTTCTCAATAAACTTTAAAATATCTTTTTGCTGTACATTTGGCTGGGAACTACAATCACTGATCAGCACATGAATTCATAAAATCTCCCTGAAGTTGCCTCTAAAGGTCCCTTTTATTGCAGTTTATTAATCACATTTAAAACTCCTTAACCATGTAAGAAAATTACTTTGGGCTTAAATTTCAGTACAATTACCTTTCAGTGGTTGAATTTCCAGCTTTGAGATTTAAGGGGATTTTCTGGAGTTTAATGCTTTTTTGTACATATGTGCCCTTAGCATTACTGTACTGTTTTGCTGTAGGAAATGAAGGACTTGTACTTAGAGAACACCAGCTTCTTGTTAAATTCAATCAGCAGACAAACAACTGTGCCTTTGTCACAGAAGCCCAAGTTCAAATGCATAAGGATCAGATAATGAAGAAAAAAATAATCTTGTATGACACAATATGCTTTCACTTTATTTAAGAAGTGAATGCACAAGTATCTAAATCAGATGCTCTGGAACCAAAGCAGTTTAAATGAGTGTATTTTATAGCCTAAAATATGCTTAAGCAGTTGCATGTTATAACAGGATATACCACATTAAAATTAAGTTAAAATCACATTCTTCCTGTAGCCTTAAATATAAAAGAGAAGGAAAAAAAAAACTAAACACAAATAAATGGCCTTAACCTCCAGAAATAATTTTAAAACTTAAGGAAGAGGGGTTAAAATAATCAGAATTCATTTTCAGAAACAAATTACCATCTCAACATCTTTGTCTTTTATGTTCTGAATATGTAACAGGAAGTGGGAATTGTCAGAGGTATGTTCAACTATACCTAAATTATAGCTATAAAGCCAGCTAGCCTAGTTGTTAGAGAACTTCTAGTTAGAACCTACTCAGATTACATGTAGATAATAAAAAGAATCAAGCTAGGAAGCTGAAGGGGTTTTTTGCCCAAGTTATTTAAACATGAATCCAATTACTGAAGTTTCATGGAGCAGCTTTCTCACTCCATTCAGTTTTCCCTAAAACAAAGATGATATGGCTGTATTGCAGTACTGAACAATCCTGAATTAATGTGGGCAAAAGAAATCTCTTCTACAACATTCTGCTGTGGTGTGGAAGAATCCCTTTTAACATAATAAAAATGATGATGATATAATGACTAATTATTATGGGATTTTATAGCTGGAAGGCATGGTAGTTATTTCAAAGCCATTTGTAACCAACAGCCTTATAAAAAGCTAGAATGTATTACATATGTGCAGAACGTAATTGGGAGCAAGTATTCAATCCCAACATCTGAAATAATTAATGTATTGTGTTTGTTACAACAGTAACTACTGCTTGATGAAAAAAGTGAACTTACGAAGAACAAAATTAATTAATTAAAATCAGCCCTTTCTGAAAGGAGAAAGGATGACTTATAAATAAATTTGCATTAGAGGAGGCCTCTCCTGTCCCTCTCTGTTAGCTATGTATTTCCCTTCCAGCAGCAAACTGTTGTTTTGGTGAAATGCAGAAGCTCCAAAGGAATTGCCAACACTTAAGAAATGGGAGAATGGGATTCTAAATATACAGGTTTCTGCTTTAAAAAAAACCCAAAAGCTTGCAGTCAGATTGTATAACAGCCTAAAAATGCATGGGATACACAGACCAAGAAGAACTGTTCAATTTTTTTATTTCCCTTGCTTTATAGAAATATCAGCAATTCCTTCCCACTGCTGTTACTCCCACGTAGCAAAATAACATTTAGTTTGGTAAGGGATCTCCCTGTCTTGATCTCTGTCTGTGAGCTTTATCATTTTATTTCCCCCACACTGTTTTGCTGACCAGGGGTGAGAGAGTGGCTGGGCAGGCACCTGACCTCCAGCCAAGGTCACCCCACCATGCTTTGACACATGCAGACATCCTGAGATGAATTGTGAATGTGGATTATGGGAGATGCATCTGAACATGGGGCACCTGCTCTGAAAAGAACAAAGTGCTCTCAATATGACTTTGAGGGGATCAACTACGTGTAGTAAAACAGTTCCTTCCAAAGCCAGTCTACTTCTTTTTAAAAGAAGCTTAACATTTCATGGAATTAATAATTCAATATGAAAGAGGTTTAGAATGAAAGTAATAAAAATATTGATATTTATTAGTTTCTTGGAAAGGACAATTTTTATATGCCTGTTTTGTAAAGTTATTAATTTTGGCACCTCAACAGAACATATTAAGAACTTCAACAGTAAGCAGTAACTCCTTTGTATGTGCTCACATACTTACAAACACACACATTTGCATACACTATTCTGAAAAGCACAAATCATTTTAATTTAAAAACAGATTATTAGCTTCCTGTCTACAGCCTTTTAATAGAGCCATGGCCTTTGTTTTCTACCAAAACAAGCTTGTCTCATGAGGGAACACCTATGGGAATGTCCAGAATTCCTGCAGTCAATTTCCACTGACAGTTTCTGCCAGCCCCCTAGAAGATGTGCTGGTGCCACTGGGCAGTTTTGATCCACAGGGCAGCAGACCCAGATAGTGTGAATGGAGAAGCAGAATACCCTTATGTGATGTGGGGGTGTACATTTCTCAACAGCCTGTGCCCCAGGGGTGCAAATGAAGGAGAGCAAATTGCTACAGTTTTTTTACTGTATTCCCCACAGGAATATTGATCAAGAATCCAGTGATCTGATTTTCAATATAAAAGAAGTGGCTAGGGCAGGCAGCACACATGTACAACCACTGGGTTTGGAAATACTCCCAAGTGTAGGCACGATTTTGGCAGGGGAGGCGGGAAATGGCGGGGGGAAGGAGATGCAGGTCATCAAACCATTTAAATAATGTGGCCCTAGGCTAGCTACCCATTAGTACCTTAGCTATTTATAACTTAGAAGTTATAAATAGAGCCATTTTATTTAAATGCTTAACCATGAAACAACTTTTAAGAAACAGTTATCAACATTTCCATATCACAAATTATCACTGATACAGGAAGATTGCATTCTATGTTCCTGTGTTCCTAGATGCATCTATTATTCTAGTCTTTATTCTGAAAGAGCATAAACCAAAGTATACATTGAAATGACTGGTTTAAAATGCAAGTGAAAAGCTGCTGCTTGTTCAAAATTAGTTCTTCCTCATGAGCAAGGATATTGCATTTCAGTTTCCAGGAAACTTTCCAGTTCCTTTAAATAAAGGGACAATGCAACCAACACTGATGCCTGTTCATTGTAGCAATATAAACTATATTCCTGTTAGTTTGAATCCATTAATGAATTAATCTTTGTCAGAAGAGTGTCTATAAAGGAGGTTCTTAAAAGACCCCAAGGACATTATAGCACTGATGGTTTACCATTATGTGGTATAACAAAGTTTTACTTAACCAGTTCTAAAAGCAGACATATGGAGTCCATTAAACCCCTCTCTTTTTTGTGGTGTAATTCTGAATGGCTGCATTATACTACTTATTTAAAATATGGATTGTAACTTCCACCACCAATTAATAAGAGTTCTACACAGTGCATGCAATTTATAAGATGCACAAACTTTGTCCATCAGCACCTAAAACTTAAACACTCTTGAGAACTGTATTTCATTTAACTGTTACAAATAGAAGGTCAATATGATGAGATCCAAGTAACTTTGACACTAATTCAGTAAGGGAAACACAATTCAGATGCTATTAAAGTCAATGAAGAGGTGCTTCTCCTGTAAATTCCCTGATATTTTGAGCAGTTTGGAGTCTGGTTTTTTTTAATGTATACATTGTTATCTGTCACACATGCATAATTGTGCTCCACCACAATATTCCTAAGTAAGGAATTTCCATTTAGTTCTTAAACAAATATTTTAAGAAAGAATCTCACATATGAAACTAATCAACTCAACTGATTTCCCTTCCACAATAAAAACTCCCTTCTTCACTATTCTTTCCATTTGATGCTACATTCTGCTCCCTTACACTAGCATCATCTTTTAGCACTTTTGTTTCCCTATTTATACTCTTTAGGACTTCCTGATTAAAGTATTTAGACCTTGATCTTACATGGGGCTCCTGAATTCAGTGGAATTCATCAAAGACCTACAAAATACCTTGCATTATACCTTACTTCAAGATAAGGGCTACAATAGAAAAGCCCAAGAGGCAAGGAACAAAGTGCACACTCAAGATTAAAGGAACCATGTTCTTGAAATGCATCTTACCCAAATAATGAACAGCATATTTTGGAAATAAAGTTTAAGCAGTGCTTAGAAAAATAGCTGCACTGCACTTGTATGTATATATACAGACTGTCAATCAAAATGTATGCCAGCCAAAATCACAGCAGAGGGTAACTAAAAAAGATAAGCACAGGAAAACTTCCTTTTATTCATCCCCTTAACAATGGGAAATGTAGTTAAAATGCTAAGATTTAGTAAATTGGTCAAGTAGTTAAGAAGGAATATTTTCAAAGTGATAAATGGAAGTAGAGGAACTAACTCACCTCTGTTACTAACAACTAGAAATTTTCAAGTCCCTATGACCACCAAATTCAACTTAACATACTTTGAATACCAAGAAGTTTCAGCTCTTGCTACGAGTTCTAAGAGAATCTGGAAGTCCACAAATAAAAAAATCTCACAGAAATGCTGGCCATTAGAAGTAGATGCATTGAAGAAAACGGGAGGGAAGAGAAGACCATACTTTCCTAACACTGGAACAGGTTGCCCAGAGAAGTTATGGATGACCCATCCCTGGAAGTGTTCAAGGCCAGGGTGGATAAAGCTCTGAACAACCTGGGCTACTGAAAGGTGTCCCTGCCACAGCAGGGGGGTTATCTAGATGATCTTTGAGTTTCCTTCCAACCCAAGCCATTCTATGAGTCTACGATTTAAGACTGACTTCTACTCACGTTCCAACCTGCAGCCTGTGAAGTGTTACAAGGCCAGAAAGAATGGGCAAGGTTCTTCACTGGGCAGATCCACGTCTCACTCACCATCTGCTCAGCTCAGATCAGCAGGAGACCAAGAGCAGGTGATGATATCCTGGAAGATGTTGGTAGCTAATACACATCAGCACCTGTTAAACACTACAAACACAGCTAGACTTAGATGAATGCAAAGTTCCCAATTAAATGTTTAAATCATCAGATCTGCAATTTCACAGTGACACTTTTGCAGCTTTTTCATTCCTGTTCTGGCCTCATTGGCTTACCCTAAATGTGAAATAGAAAGATCCTCTCCACATGAACCCAAGAAAATACTTTCCTTTGAAAACCAGCTCTTACACTTTATCTCCTTTCTCCAGTTATGAAACCTTGGATACTTCATACAGCAATCATATAACCAAGAATTAAAAATCAAATATAACACACAGCAAATATTCCCAGATGAGTCACTGTACTCTCTACATTTTTGATTTGTTGGTTTCTTTGCTGAGCAATCATCAGTTAATTACTGGGCTAACTATAGAACACCAAAATAGTTACATCTGCTCAGACACAGCCATGAAGGAACAAAAAGATTTCTCATTTCATACTTGAGTTAAAATGAAAGTGTACATAATGATAGTTTTCAAGAGATCTCATTACAACTTTAGTTCAGCTATTTCCAATTTTTGACACAAGTATGTCCTTTATGTTTTTGAGAGGACTGCACAGCTCTATGTACTAATGTCATTGCCCTGCCTTCAGGGGACTCTCCCAGGTCTTGTAAAACATTTGAGCAGATTTGGGTTCTTCAGTTCAATATCTGGAAAATTCCAATAGATCAGGTAACATTACAAAAACAGAAACAATGCTTCTACACAGCATCGGGTATGACTTTTTTCATTGCTTTTGCATCCCACGCAAATAAAATGAGCAAGGAATAACATCAAATACTACCATGGCTGTTTACTGTTTTGTTTTAGACATGAAAGGCTACCGGGTGGATGGGACAGGGCTGATCACCATACAGCACCCTGGGATGCACAGCAAAGATCTCTGTATCCAGGAAAGTGTCTGGAGTGTCCTCCACTGTATCAGCAAGCTGTTAAAATCATCATTGTATCAACACAGAAATGTATCTCTCCCCACTGACAGTTGTTCAAATGGCAAACTTGGCGAATGTACTTGCCAAAAAGGCGACTGGCTTTTGTTCAAAGAAAACAATGCAACATGGATGGCAGGCAGGAAAGTCATGCTGCAACAGCAGCTTTTAAAATTAGCAGGGGGGGAAAAAAAAAAAAAAAGCTTTTTCTGAGAGTTCTCATCTTTTTTTTAAATGAACTGTAAGGGGAATATCTGCTACTGTTACAGCTACAGGTAGGATATTCAGTTTCCAATTATTTGTTACAACACAGATGAGAGCAATTAGACAGTTTACATATGACTGGTAGGAGCCCAGGGCACATTATGTGGACCATCAGGTCCTGCAGCCTAAACACAATTCTTGATTTAATGGATAAATTAATTTTGCTAAACCACGTGGATAAATTAATTTTGCTAAACCACTTCAAATAGAGGAATGTTTTCTGAATCTGTGTGCAGGCTGTTCATATAGTTCTGTGAAGTCCCATTCCAAAGAGATCACAGCACACTTTGTCAGATCCAATAAAAACTGCACCCTAAAATACAAAACCAATGAATTTGGCACTGTTTTCTGGGGCTGCTTGCTTCTAGACTGACATCTTGTTTGGCAATTGTTTCTTTTTTCACTGAATGATACTTCCTATGATAGTTGTCTGCTTTCCTATTTAATATATTTATTATATATTCCTATGATTTCCTATTTCTCTGCCAAACCTCGACCACCAATAGATAGCACCTTTTAATTTCCTCCACCAAGTACACTGATTCCTTCACCCTTTCCATATTCTGTGCTGTGGAAGCACAGTGTTCTTGGCCCTAAAGGAGAGATCCGAGGACTAAGAAAGGGACAAAGTAAGGCTACAGATTCACTGTATCTCTTACTGCTCAATTGCCAGTGCCATGGAACTTGTCTGATTCTTACAAAAGCCCTTAATGAAGACCTGAAATCTCTGCTTTGCTGTCTTGTAAGAGAAAGGAAATAATAAAGCAGCACACTAATGCACACTAATTTTGCTGCATTATTAAACCAATAATTAATTTATCATTAATTTGGTGATTTCAAAAGAATGTCTTCTCCATTTATAAAAGGACTGTCCTTTCACTGATGCAAATGTCCTAGAAGTGTGTCTGGCTTGGAAGCCAACACACAGAATTATCTTCAGCACAAACTCCATGGAGTAGAAAGGGAAACTATTTAAAAAGCCATGACGGCTTTCAGTATAAACAATACAAATCTCTGCAGTGCACGGTGGGCTGGGTGTACTCTAGGTGAAAGAACCTATTTCAGGTTCAGGTCCATTTGCAGACTTCAAAAACTTTTGAAACATCACAAATCACCCCAGTAAGCAGTTGCATGAGGGGGCAGTCTGGTCCTGGGCACCTGGTAGAGAGACACAGACGGGGCCCAGCAAGGAGCTCAGGGCTCTGCCGTGTTGGAGTGGAGGCCATGGCTGAGCTGAGCCCTTTCTGCATCCTGTCCTGTGCCAGAGGAAGTGTGCCTGTCCAGGTGCACAGTGCTGAGGGACAGTTTGTCCCCTGGGGCATGTCCAGCTTTACAGAGTGGGATTTCTGGACGAGTGAACATCTATCTCCTGAAAGCAGCTGAGACGTGTGAGTCCAGCCCACACATTTTGAATACCATGAGGGGCTTGAGTTGATTTAATCCAGCAAAGAGGATCTAAAAAGGGGTCTAAGCTGTCCTTGGCACCAAGTGAAAAGCTTGTTAAGGTTGGTCTGTGCTGGCCATGTTTCCAAGCTCTCTGTGGCGAGGCCGTGCCAGATGAGATGGAAAAAGGCTGGGGAGCTGTTGGACAGTGGCTTACACAGGGAAATCCAAGCAAGTGCAGAATTGTATTGCTGAGTTATCAACAGAAATGGAAAACTTGCATATTTCTTCTAGCTGTGGTAAGGAAGCATTGGTACTGGCTGCCAAGGGAAGCATTTGAGTCCCCATCACTGCAGGAATTTAGAAAACATGCAGATGGGGTGTTTAGGGGCATGGCTTACTGGTGGACATGGCAGTGCTGGGTTAACAGCTTGACTCACTAATCTTAGAGGTCTTTTCCAAGCTGAATGACTTTATGATTCCATTATATAATGAGGACTCTTGATCAATATTCTGTCTTTCACAAATTTCAAGCAATCCAAGAGGAAAACAGAGCATGGGAAAATTAAAACTGTATTCAAAAGGCTTCCAAGCTTCCTTTCCATGTTCATGCTCCCCACAGATAAGATACACAGATTCTAATGTGGAGACCAGTGTTTGGAGGCTGATTTTCCCACACTGATCAACTCATTAATTGGCAACTGAGACCATTACCATCACTTCCAAAATACTCACAGCAGATGGTATAGTATCATTAGGAATTCATTCTTTCCCACTTTTTAAGTGATCTGTGCAACTCTCAGATTAAATTTGGGAAGAAAAACTAGTCCCATATTAAAAGATTGTGGTAAAATAGAACAGCTTGGATTTACCGCTTCATGGACTCAAATTACGTTTTATTATTATTCCCAATATAAAAAGGTAGCCACTCTCATAGCTGAGGAGCCTTTTTCTTCTGTAAGATTTACTGATGAATTCTTCACATTTCTTAGTCCACCCTGTTTCTTGCTTCAATGAAGAATACTCAGCTGAAGGTAATAAAGGTACTGGCCCTGCTTGTTTAAGCTGTGTCCAGCCAGATGCAACAAGCATCAACATATAATGTCAAACAGTTGAAATTTCTTAAGGTCTTTTGCTCCTAACCCCAACACAAACCAATAGCAGATGAGCCTTGTCAACAATTTGCTAGTTGCTTAGTACACTCCAGCTATCATGTTCTAGACTGCACACTACATATCTGGTTGGCATTAAAGTGCATAATGAAGAACATATTTTCATCCTGTATTTTTCCAATTTTAATCACTATATTACAGGCTTAACAGGCTTACAGTTCATGTCAGGAGCCAAATTGCTCTAATAAAATATGAAGCATTTATCTACTGAGAGGCTGAAAAGAGCAAGGTTTCTTTATTGCCAAGTCTGAAACAATGCTAACTAGAGCGTGTGTTACTTAATCTCATTCATGCCCATAAGATTTTACATGCTAAGACTAAGCTGAGTAAATAAAATTCAGAAACTTGAAGGAAATCCCATTCTCTTATTTTTATTGAGCATTAGTAACAAGCTTGGCTCTCTACTGGAAATAGCCTTTTTTCCAGCTCACTTCAGCTACATCTAAGGCACCTAAGGCTTCATTATAATCTACGTAAGATGTGGAAACTACTGGGAAAATAAGCAAAGGAGAACAGTCCTACCAGAACCCAAGAAAAGCACTGGATAAGCAAAGCTTCTCACAAATACATCCAACTGTTACATTTCATCTGACACTTCTAAATAAATCAATGGTGATATTATCATTCGACCCAGGTCAGCATAAGATGAGCAATTCTTCTCACGGGGCCAGAATTCTCCCTATGTCTTTGCCCAAAGGAACTTACAGAACAGTTGAAGCAAACTGAAATACTAAAGTCCAAGCATGAGATTCTGACCTTTCTGTTGTTTCTAGGAAGAAAGCTTCCAAAGAACATTCCAGATAAAGGCACTAAAAGAAGAAAATATATAATGCTAAGGAACAGGTCTTCCAAGTTATAAACATGAGAACAAAAAAAAGTATGTAGCAAAATGCAACCAAAACACTAGACAACAGAATTGAACTTATTTCTTAGATGTGCAGAGTCTTCACCCTTGGAGAATTGCTACAAGACCATGCAAGGAGTAAATGTCCCATCTTCCAGAAAAGAAAGGTGGACACAGGACATTTTCCAAACAACTTCACCAAGGTCACATATGCTGAGAATCAGGAAATGAAAATATATCTTCTGTGCACCTGAGAGAGTTCCTGATCTCTGCAGTCCTTCTGCTCTAAATATTAAGCAAAACTGAACATAACCATTGTGAAACCATAATTCATAGAACTCTCTATAGAACTCAAATTACTAGATTTAGAAAACTTCAAAAATTCCTACAAAG